AAATTGTAAGGCTTGGAATACGCATGTTTTTGCCGTTTTTGCGCCTTCTAATGTGGTTTTTCGATTCAGCGTTGCGGATTACCCCCGGTTAGTGGATTTCTAAAAATCGGATTTTTGCCCGGACATTGCTTTTAAGATGTTGCTATCTTTGTTCAAACCATATCGGTAACCATTTCACCCTTTGATCGAAAAATCCCTTCTTTTGGCCTGGGAAGGGGGGCGAGAGAAGAAAGCGAATAAATGGTACAGAGGTGTAATATGGAAAATTTCTCAATGCTTTGGCTTTGAAAGGTCATCGAACAGAGACTTTTTTGATTCAGGGAAGCAATGTCTTATCGATCAAGATATCGAAGTTTGGAACATACAGAATGGATGTAGCGTCTCTTTTTCCACCTATGACTTCACTAATAAAAATTTCTATCTACACATCAGCTGATTTTCTATCTAGCCGCAATATCAGCTGATACGATTACTTTGGCTCCATTTCTGAAAGACAAAGGAAAGCCGGTAAAAAAAAGACGGTTTATTTTTGCTGGCAAACTTGCTCTATAACACTGCTCTATAACACAACTAGGCGTCTTCATTCATTCTTTGCGTTGAAATTTCCCCACAAAAGCGCACATGTTCTGCTTGAAATAAATCTCCGAGGGGGGCTAGAAAAAAACGGATGATCTTTGAATCCCGTTTTGTGAGCGTTTTGGTATGAGTGCTAGTTTTTAGCAGTTTAGGTGTTAGATTGTTAGATGAGAAAACTTGTGGCCACGGCTCGGCATGAGGTGGCTTTGTTAATTTTCAAAAACGATGTCCCCGTAGACTTCGCGACAAAAATACTATATCACTTATGACGCGATTATGGAATCGAAACTAATAACGATAAATAATGGAACAAAACATAGCAACATTGAATATACGAAAAGAACTAACGATGTTCGTATTTTCCCAAATAGGCGACGTGCTGTGTTCGGCGCGCACCCTTGCGCGCTTGGAGCAGGCTTGCCGCCGCCATACAAAATATTTGGAGGGCTGTAACTAGGCGAGGAAGACGAGGTTCAGGGAGATTTAAAAACTCAGTTGTAGGGTCTTTGACGCAGAAAAAACAATGTTAAACAGGTGAGAAAATTATGTGAAGGAAGGGTAATATATGACTTTTCTTTTCACAGCCACCACAGATGCCTGTCCGTGGCTGGAAAGCCACCTAACTCCGAAAAAATTTACCACGCCTTCAGTTTACACAACTTTTTCATAATTCTCCGCACATAGTCCTAATTCTCTATTGAGCATCTACACATCAATTTTGATGCATTTCATTATTCCTGCGCTGCAAACAAGTTTTTTGTTTATTTCGGGGATAGGTTTAAATTCGCGCTCAAAGGGCGAACCTGTTGAGTCAGGAAATTTCGGTTGTTCAAGAACGGGATCTATAAGGCAGGAATGACAATTTGCGTCCTCTAGAGAAGATAGAATGTGACATAAAGCAAGAAGGCGATTGTGTGTGGGGTGGGGAGGGGAGTGGGGGAGGGGCTGGGGTTTCCGTTTGCACGATAATCCCCCTTTTGTTTTTCAATCCAAAACCATATCCAGCTTGCCCCGTAAGCCACCTGTGCCGAGCTCTGCTTGTGGTTCTTCAAAAATGGGGTGGGCACAGCACCAGGAATCGACCTAGACGGTCTCTTTCTTTCTAACTATTCTGCGGAGCGAGGTATGAGGATTTATCTAGCTACAGTATCAGCTAATGTTGTGAATTATCTTATTCCATACTAGCGCAGGAAATTTGCAATGTATCATTGTCATCTTAACTCGACCATTGTAATTTTGTTTGTTTTTCCATTGTAACAAAATCAATCAAGATAACAACATTACTGTTGCGAATCAGATAACCATGAAAGAGCAGATCTTGAGTTTGAGATATCCCTTTCGAAATCTGCGAAGCTCTCCTATCGAATTTCAAGACGATTTTTGACGAGAATCTCGGTGTTTGATTCAGAGATAAAGACTGAGATTTCGAATAAGATAATGCTTACGAACTGATGTTGTGGAATATAGATGTCGTGTGTGGCAAACCGTATGTCTTACTCATCTTGCCAATACAGCTCCTACAGCTACCCCAAAACTTCAAGAACCACAACTTATTTGTATAGCTGTTTGATCCTTCTTCACGTACATCTCGGTTCCTTTAAACTTCATTTTAAGAATGATTCGAAATAAGGGGCCGGGCATACTTCACTCGACTTCAGTCACGACCCGATTTGGCAATATTCCAACTGTCCATAACTCACTGCAAGCACATTCTAAATGTACAGAAGATAAGGCGTTTAAGCAATCCACGTGAGTTCATTCACCAGTGCGTCACCTCTGCTTCGCAGAGGCTCGCACTGGCCCTACTTTATCTATGCCTTACTCATTCCCGCATGGTAATGACATTGAAACTCACCGCGCTATGTAGGCTATCACGAATAATTCGTAAACAACTACTCATTCGCAGAGGTTTTTCATGTGAGATCGGTATTTTCGCGTGCATAAAATCTTTCCCAGAAGAACAGATGCAAATTCGAATAGGTTTTTGGAATTTTTATGGCTTGGTAGTCGCCGTAAGGACAATAAAGATAGTGGGCTACATCTCTGTGCAAAAATCTTCTCAAACAATCAGGTAAAATCTTGAAAAATTGACCATTTACGCAGCGAATGCTTTTTGGCGCTGCTTTCATAAAGCAGTAAACTTTTCATTACTTTTTTAGGCTAACGTCCATGGCTTGCACATTAGACTGTCACATATGTCCTTAACTCTGCAAAAAGTAGTACTACAGACCCAAATTTGCTGGCCAGAAGCCAAGTGAATCCGTTTGACGCGCAATTTTCAATGGATCCACTCAACGGATTCGCTCATGCTTTTGTATAGTGAGTTTTCATGCTGGTAACGTGCGCTATGCAAAATTTGGGCTCAGGACGTTGGCTGGAACACACTCTACGAATTTCGTGACAGACAGACAGACAGACAGACAGACAGACAGACAGACACACACACACACAACACACACACACACACACACACACACACACACACACACACAAACGTAAACAACCCTTAGCCCGTTATTATAAGTTATGATCTTTAAAACGGGAAAGCATTTTTCCAGGTTTCGCTTGTGAATGGAAAGATTTAGCAAGGTATTGAACTGCTTCCTTATTTTCTACTAGCTGGTGGCCCCGGTCTCACCCGAGACTTCAAGTTAGTTAAGCCAACAGAACTTGTAAACTTACGCCTCTAGATTTCTTCTAACATGCGCATGAAGCGCTTTCAGACTAATTGCCGCACCCTACCAACTTTAAGACTAAAATGGACTTTACCACCCCTGCTTACATGCTTATATGTAAAAATGATCGGTTGCCATGATGGCCCTTCATTTTCTTAGGTTTGAGTAAACAAATCAATAAATCGATAGAATGGCCCGGCGAATCGCTGCGGAAAGTAGCTCTAAACCACCGCCGGGGTCGAAAATATACGTGTGCGAAGTTTCAGCCGGATCGGTTCAGTGGCGCGCGTTTCTATAACGAACGAACAACTAAACGAACATCCTCACAGACATTGAGTTTTATATATATATAGATCATGCTCTTAATGAAAAAAGATATCTTGGGTTGTAAAGAATTACCCGGGCACTTGCGAAAATTTTTTCAAATTTTTTTCCGCTGTAACTTCAAGCTAGTTAATTCTTCTTTGAAGCTACAAATTGTATTGCAAAAACAATTTTGACTGCAACATACATTTTTGCTGCTCTTCAGCGCCTTTCTGCGGTCCACCAGCATGCGCAGGAGGGAAAGAGGTTAACGAGAAAAATGGCCTATTTGTGCAGGATTATCTCAGGCATGATGAGAGCTGGAGAGCTCAGATGCTGTAATTATATAGAAACCTGCTGGGGTTGTTATGTAGACTATTTAATCTTTGGTAAACCACTTGCAAAAAAAATTTTCTTTAGAGACGCCAAAAAATGACCATTTTTACCTTTAGAAATGCACCAGTTTTTGAGTAAATAACTTTGAAGTCTTCTCGTTCTGCACAGGGCAAAACCTTTGTTTACTGTAACTATTGTTGGGGTAATGTCTTACACATTTTTTGGACCCGTCATCCAGGCGTCGCGATCCCCGCGGAAGCGACGCCAGCTGCGAAAAGAATTACAGTCAGAGGCAAGCTCGACAGCTTGTAATTTCTGAGCGCAAATCGCAAAACCCGAGTACAGCTGCGGTTTGAAATTTTACAGCCACCTCAATCAGAACACCCGTGAATTGGATGAAGTTCTTTAAACTGCACAAAAAATGGCCGTAAGAAGAAAAATTGTGAAATTTTTATGGTTGAAAAGATTTCCTTTTTTCGTGTGCAGATCGTTTTGGCATCGATAAAAATCAGAAGCGGTTTTGAAAAGTGTAGGCTTTCCGCTTCCAAACAATATAAAAAACTGGGTGTCAAAATTGACCAAGCGCCAAATTCTAAAAGTACCGGGAACTTTTTTTACAACCTGATAATTCAATTTCTCTCAGTGAACATTCATCCATCACTGGGCAGACCAGACTTCCTACTATTGCGCAAATCTTCCCTGCGACGATATATATTCATTGAACAAGTTGCTTACTCAAGGAATCAGATATCCCCTGAAATTAGGTTTATTTCGCTACCAAAACTGAACACTCTGAGTGAGAAAAGAAATCTAGAGCTTGCGTTTTTTTTTTCAAAAAAAAATTCAAAAGTGCAATCATGTCATGCACTGACTGAGAAGAAGCAGCAGCTGGCGGTCCCAAACAAGAGGTGCATCATTCATCAAAACTGTTTCATTCTGCCGATGTGCCTTGAGCTTAGTCTCAACCTCAGGTGAAGAGGGTCATCCGAATGCCGGCCCAAAAGTGAAGAGGGCAGAGAAATTGCTTCACCTATCGTACCCATGGTCTAAACTAAAGATTGAGCATCTAACTATTGCTAACTCCCCCCCCCCCCCCCGGAAGTTTTTATCATGATAAGCGATAAGCTATCACTTGCCTGTGCGATGAAAACGCTCCTACAGGTGTTAGCGCTTGGACTATTGTTCACTTCTGCCAATTCAGCTGGTAAAATTTGTCTAGCAACCATTTACCACATCCTGAATAATTGCACACATTATTTCTAGGAAAATGTGATCTAACATCTCCACCAAATTCATGGTTAGTGACGACAGGCATTGGTATCATGAAATGGGCTACTGCGGGTGTGCCAACAAATGGTGACAATTATTGCGTGAACGTTGGTTCTTATTCCAGGTTTCTTGTAATTGGATCAAATTAAGCGGCAGTTAGAGTAAGAAAAAGGTAGCACCTATATAAATAACCAGAACTTTGGATATGGAATTTTGTGTGAACCAGCCAGGGAAAATTGCTTAAAAAACAATAATTTGGCTTTTTTTCTAAAACATTAACGGTCCTATTGATTGTTAGGGCATGGGGTCATACAAGTCGAAACTCTTTATTTGAATTCTATTTTTGGAGCTAAAATCCGAGCCCGAGAAGAGTAATCATCCACAAGACTAGAATGTGCCATTTGGTGGCAGCGAAGAACATATCAAAAAATCAATCAGCTACCAAACAAAATACCTACACCGCTTCTGCTTTGTTCAAAACAACTAACCTAATTCACTAAAGTCTCACGCTTTTGAATAGTCCATTTTCAGATTCCTGAGTTTGCTTCATGCCTGAGCGTGTTTCACTAAATTCATTCCACTTACCACTGCAAATTCGGTGCCAGTGATTTTGGCTCATCCTCTGATTAATGTAATGAACTTTAGGGCGATCCAACAACAATCGTCGAAGTCGACTATCACATTGATCTGAGGAAATATACTACCGACAAAATCGCTTCTATTTCTCGTCATCATCAGAACCTGTGGGATAATCGTAAGCTTGCGCTCTTTCACTATTTATCTATTGCGTAAAACCTATCCTATGTAATGGGCTTTCCATCATGTCGGTGAGGTGGAACTGCTTAGGAATCAAGGCTTCTATTAGGTTGATGCAAAAATAATGGCCGATTTTCCACCTTTTTCCAGGGCAACTTTTTCCCATCAAAATATTTTCTTTGAAATATCTTCCACACCTATAAAAATAGTTTAAGGGGCTTCTAACTTCATCGGTTATAAAGTTACTGAGCTTCAAATAATCACATCTAAATTCAGAATTTTGTTGCATTCACTTTTCTGGCTAGAATTTGAGCCAGGGCCCGGCGGGGGTGGCGCTTTCAAAGCTGGATATCGTTTTTGGCCCGAAAAAGCAAGGGGGAAATCGTTTTTTGGGGTCCGGGGCGGAGCCCCGGAAAAAAATTGGTAGTTCATGCTCGCTGCTTATCTTAACATGTTATGTCCCTCAACAGGCAAACACTGGAGTTCGCGCGTGTAGAACCGCGCCGTCGCTAACTGCCGCACGCGCGACGTCGCTCAAACAATGCTGTTTGTAACGCATAAATGACGAGTTCTCAATGTATGCGTAACGATATGGCACCAAATTTTGTAAGCGAACGGAGAGAGGCTAATGGAAACAAAGTATGAAAAATCATGAAAAACTTATGTGAACGGAACGAGTAATAAGCATTTTTTTTGAAAATTTTGTAAAATTGGTAAATGAAGATGCGCATTCAATTGGCTCGTTTGCAACGCGCAGATGACGGTATGCTACGAGACTTGGTACATACGTGGACACAAGTTTGTAAGAGATTAGTTAGGAGTTTCATTGAAAAATTATGTGACTGAAGGTTGTAGCAAGGTTTTTTCTGAAAATTTCCCACTATCAAGAAAATGGAAAAATGGCTCGTTTGCAATGCAGAGGTGACGAAATTGCGCGGGATTTGGTGTGTATATGCGCAGTAGGACTAAGTAACAAAGTATGAAAAATTATGAGAAACTTATGTGAATTTAAAAAATGGTAAGTGTTTTTCGAAATTAGGTGGCTCCCGCGCCACCTGGGAGCCACCTGGGGTGGCTCCCTGCTTTCCTTCACATAATTTCCCGGATTTCTTTACATAAATGTGGCTTAGGTCGAGAGTATTACTACATGTTCAAATCCGCTTCCAAAACCACCAAGGCACCGCTTCGATACAGCCCCAAACAGGGTTCACAGCGTTATGGTCGGCCTCGGAAAGCGCGCTCCAATCGCAATCTGTGCACCTTGCACAGACGACGCGGAAACTTTGAGAAATTGGCTTTTTGCTAGATTACTGATCGCTGGTTGAAGCAATCTTCTCAGTCTTCAACCGATTGCTTCTTCGATAAGCCCTACAAGGGCTCAGAAGGCTCAGCGATCATATTTGATCGTAATGTTCTATGCAAAAAAGTTGTTTTTGTAACGTATTTTTTCAATTTTCGCAATATGGTCAATTTTTCCGTATTTTCGCTCTTTTGGGTCGTTATTAATAAGTCGTTAGTAAGTGTAATTTTTGGCCATCCTCTCAAACGATGACCCGGGCCGGACCAGGAAAGCCAGGTAGTACTACTATAATAAGCGCTGAGGCCGCCCATCTTATTATTTGTGTATATCTGTTTGTCAGGGACTTACGGGGGCCAAAAATAGGGTCAAAGGGGAAGTCGTAAGAAATTTTGGCTTCAAAGGGGATATCGTTTTCAAAATTCTGAAATGCCACCTCCTGCCTGTCCCTGATTTGAGCGCATATGAATGGCGCTTTTAGAAAATCTAGCTATTTTATGTAAATGAGATTGCTTTTTTATGCATACTTCACTATATATTTTGAAGTTATCCAGACTGAGATGTCGACACTTCAACATGGGTAGCGTTGCCGTCATTACATGATCCATAACTTTCTTTTGAAAAGATCAATCGCCAAAAGCTTTGCTCAACTATGTAAGCGCTACGGCATATTACAGCAGTTTTTGCAGAAACATCCAGTTGTTCAGTGAAAATTAGAAAAAACCATATGGGACTTTGAAGCATACTGAAAAAGCGTTGAAAGAACTAACAATTGTGAATTTCACTTTTTCCCTTCCGCTAACTTTTTTCTCCAAGCCCTCTTTATCGCATTTTGTACTCTTGGCTTGCGGCTACAATATAGATCATTTATTTTTCGAAACAGCCATTATTTTCGCATCAATCTGATAAATCAAAAACGAGGCATTTTGAGAGATTGTAGAAAAAGATACTGTTACATAGGGTTTTGTTCAAAATAGCTCATGAAAACTTTAATCCTCGTTCTCGGATGATCATCACTCTGACCGTGGAACTTTTGAGTCTTGGGGCGGCACGTGACCCTGAGCGCCTACATCTAACCTGGGTGTCCTGCGCTCACTCAAAAACACGCGACGCAACCTTGCCTACTATCTATAGTTAGCGTGCGATTACATAAAGTACTAACAAAGTACTTTAGTGACATCAAGGAAATAAAAAAGGACACACTGAATTACAATGCTAACTACTACCAGAACTAAAAGTTCAAAACGAAAAGAAATGCCCCCTCCCTGCTCATTTCAGTCCAATCATTCCGCTAGTGAGAGTGATAAGCCAGTAAAGGAGGTAGTCAACCAAGCACGGGCAGTTTACAACAATAAATATTGATCAAGACCGAAATTGTAGAGCCAAAATAAGGCGCCGATGCTAGATATAACCGTTTAGCTACCAGTGCCAAACAAGAAGAGCTCCGAATTTAGCGGAATTGCTCGTAGTGGCTACGTAGTAGCCACTACGAATAGCGTGATCATCAGGGCTGTTGCCCTCCATATTTCTCTTAGAGCTCGACGACTAGGATGGGTTTTTTACAAGTGAAAAGTTCTTCTATTTATAGCTGACAATTATTGTGTGATGGACGATCCACAAATCCATGTATGTTTCCCGTTTTGCTCAACAGAACTGCAAAAATCGGTATTTCTACATCACACACGACAGTAATTAGTTGTTGGACTGGAGTGTTTGTCAGATAATCGAAGCAGCTCTGGCGTCCGGAGATCCTGCAACGGTGGCGAGAACTATTCAACGATCAGTAAATCTTGAACGTTGGGCGACTACTGTCTTGCAGGTAATTTCCATGTACCGCTCAATCGATGATATCGTTTTACTTGTTCAAGGTGGATTTCAACAATCCTGCTGCTCATATAAATGCCACTAGTTATGCAGATCCAGATGTCTGGTGCAGTGTCTATATAGGCATTGATCCCAATGATCACCGGCCATCATATCTCTTCGAGATTCAACTTGGAAAGATTATCTTTTAAATGTATTTTATTTAAAAAGTTAAGGTTTGCCAGTCTGATCTACTCATCCAGTCCCACCTGTGTTCGAAACAAATTATGGCTGATTAACACTGAAAAATGGTTGAACAAACGCTGATTTATTTCGCATCTAATGCCATCTAATGCTGTTAAATTGTATTTGCACTATAGCGTGATTTGTCTCGGAATAATAAATCAGTTTCATTGCGATTTAGAATTAGGCTAACATGCACTCAAGTACAGGTTTTTGCTTATGCATTTTTTTGACAAAGTAAAAAAATTGATTGAGAAATTGGTTGCCACAATCAAGTAACATAAATCGGTGGATGCTAGTCGTGCGATTATCAAAGGCAGCGTGCAAAATTTCGCTTCCCACGTTTTTGTCATTCTGTGGCTAATGCGTGGCCTTGATTACAGTTATGAACTTGTCCAAACTCCCCCCCCCCCCAAATGGATTTCTGGAGGCCCTTCTGGCGCTGACGAGTTCTAGCTTGCTCGACCCCCTTGGCATGCCAGCGGGAGGAGCTTCAACTGCACCCATACAGTTGCAGTTTCCGCTCACTATCATGCCAGTGCGTGAGAGGCAGATTTTGGCAGGGCGGAGCCTGGTAGGGTTCGGGCGTGCCTCGATAGAACCGCTGTTCCATGTCCGTTATCTCCATTTAGAGGCAACATTGGAGGACTGGAACAATACAGATGCCCCTTTCTGGGGCCTACACTCAAGATCGGCACTTATCGAAGGGCATAGATTTGGCTCGGACACTGCCTGAAGTTGCGAATGATCGATTCTATAAAACTGCATACTTTACTTTAAGGTCATGGTTTTGCTTCAAGTTTAAAAAAGATTACTGTAGGTAAATTCTTGCATAATGAACTTGAAGCAGTTTATCTTCTTCGTATGTGGTTCGGATCTAATGGAAAATGTTTTTTCCATAATGGAGCGGGAGAGGCGAAAAAACAGATTCCTTATTTCTTCACAGTTTTGCTTGCATAATTTGCTCTTAATAGATTTCGTTTTAGAAAAGCAGAAGGGATATTGTACAATAATACTGTACCGTTACAGCGAACTGAGACATGCCTTGCTTTAAGGACCTTAGACAAGTGACATGACCGAACGCGTTTTCTCAAAAGCTTGAGAGAACACGTCCGGTCATGTCACTGTCACGTGATTTTGAACGCGAGCTAAAATGAGCGAGTGACTTGTTTGCAAAGACGTTATACGACACCAACACTTTGTGCTACATATGCACAATATTACCTCAAACAAAATCATGCGAAAAGACATTGTAAACTTATATGACATATCACTTTTTCAGATTAATCTTATAATAAGGAAAAGATACTTGGTCGAAGTGACGTTTCCATAGGAAATGTACACTGTTTTATGAGCATGAAACGCTGATTCCAAATCTGCTTTCGGTATCTGCAAAGCGCTTCTAGGAGGGGAGTTACGGAAAATTTTTAACACAAAAATTTCGAGACGCAGCTACAACGAAATCTTTCAGAACTGTAGTCTGCGAGCTTGAAAAGGCCTATGATTACTACCGGGGCGCTTTGTGCAGTCAATACCTTCATTCTAGTAATTTTGAGGCAGTCGTTACTCCATTCAGGCACCGAGAAGACCTCAACACTCATTTTTACCTTAATCAAAATCTTGAATTTTCGCCTCAGAAACTCTTATAACTTCCATCCCAAAGCGCTTTGCAGATGTCGAAAGCAGATTCGGAATCACCATTCCATGCTCTATAAGACAGTACACATTTCCTATAAAAACGTCACTGCGAGCAAGTCTCCTTCCCCTGTAAGACGCTAACATGACGATTGAGGAGGTCATGACGGTCAGGATCAGGATTGAGGAGGTCATGACGGTCAGGACGCATGTTGCGAGCTCACGAAATTTTTTGAAGTTATCATTCCAAGTCCTTGCATGGTTAGCCTGTCTTCTTTTAAAGAGCCTTCTTAAGAATTGTCTCTCCACATTATTCACTTCCACGAATTTACTGAATGCGACGAAACGACATCAAATCTGATGTGCATGTCACCAGGGGAAGTAATGTGATTTGACCATTTTGTAGGAAAAGCGCAAAACTCATCACAGCGCCGAGGCCAAGTTCGGCCGCTTCATCTTACCTACAAGGACGGTATAAAAAGGCATAAGCCCCGTCCTCCCGGGTTCTCGTATGTCCGCATGCCAACTTCGGCTGGCCTTGCTACCACCATACCAGTGGCGTACCCAGGATTTCGGCTCGGGGGGGGGGGGTGCGGCAAAAAAAATTTTCAAATGAAGGTGCGTGGCGTCAGCCACGCACTCCGAAAAATTTTTAGGGGGGCTTCTCAACAATTTTGCGGGCCCCAAACCCATAAAATCTGGAAAAAGGGGGCGTGGCGTCAGCCACGCCCCCGAAAAAACTTTTTTTATAAGGCTAAATTGAATTTTTAAAAAATTTCAAAAATTATTTTAATTGTTTACAAAAATAAACAAGTCATTTGCACATTTTTATAAGCATGTAAGTAATTTTCAAAAATTTCGCGACCCGTTCTCGAGGGGTGGGGGCGACCCCCCCCCCCCCGCCCCCCCTCGCTACGCCACTGCACCATACTGAAGTGAGCCTCAACCCTTTTTATCCATTTAATTCCCCTTTCTCATAGATGTTTTGCCTCAGCCTTCTGTTGTTCCCTCTGTAATGTATTTTCCTGTGCCTCCTTTGCATTTCTTGCCCTTTGCAAGATGTCTGGTTAATATAACGATAAAACCTTAGTAATTACTTGTATGCTGTGGAGCAAAGGAGTCACTTGGAGAGGGGTCATATATAGGCTTATCAACCGGCATCGGTCCCGCGTTGGTGTAACCTGCGAAGCCGCACCTTCGCGTGTGACGTGCCTTAGAACGTAGCAAAGTTCGCACGCGTCACACCGCACCGTCGCAAGTTGCCGCAGATGCGAAGTCGCATGACCGATGCTGGTTGGTACAGCCTATATAGATATGTAAGCTTTACTAGACAAAGTCGTTTAGACACATAAATCATTATTTTATGACATGGAGGTTCCGCACCCATGTACCATAATAACGATTTATGTATGTCTAAACGACTTTGTCCAGTAACGCTTACATATATAGACCCCTTTCCAAGTGACTCCTTTGCTCTGCAGCACACAAGTAATCACCAAGGCTTTCGCCTACTCGCACACGCACAGCAAGCATATTAAATGAACCCCGAAAGCATAATAGCATCATTTTCGTAATTAGCATGTCAAATAACCTTTCAGGGTCAATTTCGGCGAATTTTGAATTTTCCAAACATTGGGACACTCAAATTAGGTCGTCATTTTCGATAACTCCGTTTCAAATGTGAGTAAACTAATTCTTTTTGCACTTATTACAAGGTAATACTACTTCTTTGCTCATACTAGGGATCCCACCTCAACTAACTCCAAACTCTGGAAATAAGAGCAAGCGAAATCTCGTTTATCCTATTTTTCGCTTTCCAATTTCTCAGACTAAAGAAAACCAATCAGGCTCAAATCACTTTTGTGAAAGCTATAGTCGTCCTCAGCCCACTAGTCGGTCGGTGGTCGAATTTGAATTCAAACTGGAGCAGACCGGCCACGGCAGAGCGCGGCAGATCGCCCCTCAGCCAACCGTTTGCACAGGAATTTTCTCTTATTTTCTTCGTGTTTCTTTGGGATCTCTCGTATTGCTGCAATGTTCTTGATCAGATTTTTAGATATCTTACCGCTAACTATTGTTTTGTGCAGTTCTCGTTTACTTTACATTTTTCCAAGTAAACCGGCAAGAAGGATGCTGCTGGAGATTTTTAGATGAGAAATCTCTTTTCCGGTAAGTGGCACATACACAAATGTGATTTGATGTACTTTGTCAAGATTTCATTAGGATGTGTACTCTAAACTATTTTTTATGATAGGGGTAAAATTTCTCTTAAAAAATGCTTGTTTTAAAGAGTTAGCGATATGAAGTCTGAAAATCTGATCAAGAACATTGCCGCAATACGAGAGATAGCAAAGAAACAGAAAGAAAATAAGAAAAAATGTTGTGCAAGCGGTTGGCTGAGGGGCGACGTCTGCCGCGCTCTGCCGCGGTCGGCCTGCTCCAGTTCGAATTCAAATTCAATCACCGACGACTAGTGGGGTGAGGACGACTATACAAGGATCATGCTATGGAATACATTTCTTCTTGCCGCCTTACCTCGCGATTCACGTAGTAGTGCAGACGTAGCATGTTACCGTAATCCAATATCTTCGCAGTGTTTTCCATATGCTTAGCTAAGGAAAAACTATATCTTCCCTAGGAAAAACAATTTTGATTGAAATTTTGCTATTGGAGAAGAAGGTTTAGCAGCACTCCTATTTTCCCACACCATGGACGCTGCTTTAAATAACCATCAAACTATGGAATTAGAAGCGGCCAAAACCTCGTTTGTCCATTTTTCGTCGTTTTCACCAGCTTTAACTTAGAGCAAAGGATGTGAATTAGGCCCAAATTACTCCTATGAAAACTAAAAGACTCAGCTATCAAGCTTTTTAAGAATTAGTGGGGTGTGGCACAACCCTAGAAAAGCTGTGGCTGCCACACCTTTTTGAGGGTTGCGCCACATCCCATTGACCTGCCTTCAAAGCACTCAAATTTCTATCCTTTTTATATAGTTAATGTAGTTTTTATATAGTTAGATTATAGTATTATATAGATTTTATATAGTCTTTTTGTATTGAGTACAATAAGAGTTAGCTAATTCAATTTTGAATATAGTCGATCATCTTCGAAAATGTTCACTTCACTTGGGTGGTCTAGTATTGGGAATCCTCAAAATTTGCTAAAACTTAGCAGATGGTGTTTATTTGACATGATAATTACGAATATGTGCCCTAATTATGAATGGTATAGTCTTTATGTCATGCCTAAGGAAGAAAAGTGGGAGGGGGGGGTCTTGAGACAGAAGATAGGTGGGGGGGGGGGGTTGTCGTATCCTTCGCTTCTGTGCCACACC